CACAATCTTTTAGTTTATAAACATACTGGAGGAGGCCCTTTCACTCTGCAGATATCAGTACAGTTTGGAAGCTTAGTGGCAAGATTAGGAAATTTAAAAAGCTCATGTCCTGAAGCTAAAAAGCATCAAAGCATAATCTCAGCAAGAATGTGTGACAGCAGTACGATAATGAGTTAAATGTTAGTATTATCATGTTTAACTGGCCATTTTAGGGTATAAATACATGTATGTCCTCAGGGCAATCAGCTGGGTTCCATCTGAAAATCACGCACAGCTTTTCTGCGAGTGTCACCATAAGCTGGAATAAAGCAGGGCAACCCCCTCCTATCTTTGCTGACTGAAATGTCTTCCTTTAGCTAAGCTGATAAATCCTGCCATGAAGATCCTTTTGATCTGGCCTATCTAAACACAGTTATTTAAAGTGTGTTTCAGAGAGGATTTTAAGTGCTGGGATTGATGTTCAGCGTATGATGTAATGAGTGAAAAGTCGTTCTTGTTCCTTTGCTTCACGATGTGCATGTTTATGATGGGTTACATGGTTTATGATGTGTGTGTGCTAGAGTCAGAAAGGACACAGACTTTACACACATTTCCTTCCTTCCTTCTTTCTTTCCATCCATCCATCAATTGTCTTCCGCTGATACGGAGTTGGGTTGCGGGTGCAGCAGCGTGAGCAGGGAGGCCCAGACTTCACTCTCCCCAGCCACTTGGGCCAGCCCCTCAGGGGGAATTCCAAGGCTTTCCTTGGCCAGTCGAGAAACATAGTCCCTCCAACGTGGGTGGGAGGGGCGACGGTGGCACAGGAGTCAAGTGCTCGTCCCATAATCAGAAGGTTGCAGGTTGGAGCTCCCCTCAGTCTGTTCCTGTCGTTGTGTCCTTGGGCAAGACACTTAACCCACGTTGCCTGCTGGTGGTGGTCGGAGGGACCGGTGGCACCAGTGCTCGACAGCCTCGCCTCTGTCAGTGCGCCCCAGGGCAGCTGTGGCTACATTGTAGCTCATCCCCACCAGCGTGTGAATGTGTGTGTGAATGGTTGTGTTGTAAAGCGCCTTGGGGGGTTCCAGGACTCTAGAAGGTACTATATCCAATACAGGCCATTTACCATTTACCATTCAACGTGACCTGGGTCTTTCTTTAGGTCCTCTCATTGTTTTACGATCCCAGAAAACCTCACTAGGGAGGTGTCCAGGAGGCATTCTATCCAGCCCCTCCTGGATGACCGAGCTGTTCACCCTATCTTTCGTTCACTACCCAAAGCTCGCGACCATAGATAAGGGTTGGAACATAGATCAACCAGGAAATCCCTCTTCACCATGACAGACTAGTACAATGCCTGCATCACCAATCCGCCTACTGATCTTTCCTTCACGCGTGAACAAGACCCTGAGATACTTGAACTCCTCCACTTAGGCAGGACCTTGTCCCTGACTTGTGTGTTAACCTACTGGGCTGTTTCTAAAGAAAGAGTTCAGTTGAGGAAGGATTAAAATGAAGAACAGAAGTGACAGATAAAATATCGAACACTTCATTACAGTTGTCTTCACCCTGTCATGTACACATTTATTCTTTGGTAGAGACGGACCTCAGACGTGATCATGCTATTATATCTAAAGCAGGGCAGCTTAGTAACCTGGAAGGGATGTAAATAGGATTCTGTAGCAATGAAAGATACAAAGTGGTCTAACTAAATCCTTCTCTGTGTGAATTTAATTTCCCCAGGCCTCATGGCATCCTGTCAGCGACAAGAAAGCCTCCTCTCTTTGTCTGTCTCTCAGCAAATTGCAATTAGGCAGTGGGCGTATGTTGGCATGCTAGTCAATCACAGGTAAAGCTTGCGTTTTAAAGATGAAAGTGGCAGCATATTGACTCCAGGCCGTTCAGCCTGCCTTATAAGGAACAACGGCCAGTTAACAGAGACATTGATTTTTCTTTTTATGCTTGTTGGGGATTAGAAACCAGCCACTTGTGACCACATGGTGTTCATTGTTTCTTAAAAATATTGATAACACTCCTGAATCTATTTGTGCTCACGTAGATTCTCGAGCCAATTAACACCGGCATCCACCGCCAAAGTCGTTTTCATCTCTTTGGAATTGATTGGAATTTATTCGGGTGTTTTATTTGACTAAACACGGTGGTAATGGTTGTATGACAGTGTGCTAACTAGGTGCTTTTCTTTGTGGCAAGTATAGAAAGTGGCTTGAAGATGAAAAATGGAAAAGCAACAAAAGCAAACCCTGCTGTGGAGGAGTACAGTCAACACCCACACCTGTCTGACGGGATTCGCAGGCAACAACATCTGAAGGAGAGTGGCCATTGTTTTACACGGCTGCAGCCTCAGAGCGTTGATATCTGTGCACACATATGGGTTTTTCTGTCTTTTTGAATTGAAGTTCTGTCGCCCACTGCGTGGGTCGATTTTTGGTTTGGCCTCTACCAGCACCTGCTGTGTCTTCTGAGAACCTTGTTTATTTTGATAGACCTTTTTTGTGACACACTTTGTCATGTGGAAGGCTGGGTGTGAGTTATAAATCTAGTCTGCCTGAGACTTAGGGCAAAACCAAGATCAAACATCAGAAAAGAACAAATAAACAAACATTTAAGGGGAGGAAGGTAACAGAAAAATGGGGTATTTTTTACCTTCTTTAGCACTTGTTGGCTCTTCTTCATCCTGTGGTCACACTTCATCTTCAGGTTTAATTATTTTTTTACAAACCTGGCTGTGTGCTCCCTGCTGAGAAAAAAAGAGCCTTCAAGGAGGGAGACAGGGAATCATTGAGGAGTATACAGAAGCAACTGAAGATCAAGATAGAGAACAAACTACAGAGGAACAATATCAGAGATGTCTGGTCAGGGATGAAGAAGATCACAGGCTTCAAGCAGAGGAAGGATTGCACAGATGGCAGCCTGGACACAGCCAATGAACTGAACAAGTTCTTCAATAGGTTCAGTTCAGGAACAAACCCAGCATCCTCCTCTCCTGTCCCCAGCCAATCAGACATCCCATCCTCCTCTGATCCAACATTTTCCTGTCACATGTCAGCTCTTTTGTCCTCTAACGCAGTCAGGAACTCTTCTGGTTCTATAAATCTGTCTTCAACCAAGTCAGGAGATGCTGCTGCCCCATTTTCCTCCCCCTCCCACCTATCTGTCTCTAGAAGTCAGGTGAAGAGGCAGCTGGAGAGACTGAACAGGAACAAGGCTGCAGGTCCAGATGGTGTCAGCCCCAGAGTACTGAAGGCCTGTGCAGAGCAGCTCTGTGGGATTCTGCAGCACCTCTTCAGCCTCAGCCTGGCCCAGGAGAAGGTTCCAGTCCTGTGGAAGACATCCTGCCTTGTTCCACTTCCAAAGAAAACTCGCCCATCAGTCAATGACGACTACAGACCGGTTGCCCTGACCAGTGTTGGGAGTAACGCTGTTTAAGAATAACGGCGTTCTTTTATAGGTAACGGAATAATCTAATTCATTACTTTTCCCGCCGTTACCGTTACCGGGGACGGAAGGTTGTGCGTTACAATGTGCTTGTCGAACGTTGAGCAACAGGCTTTCTGACCGCCACACTTCAGCTGCAGCCAGGGAGAGAGAGGTGTCGGCGCGCTAGGATGATGTCGACGCCAAAACAACCAAAACAAAGTGGAGACTCACCTCTCACATGAGGAAGAATCTGCGTGTTTCGAGCGTTATCCGTTCTTTCATAATCCGTTGTTGAATTGTGATCGGCAGAAGCTTTTCCGGTTCGCGCCTCACTTTTTACAGCAGCGGCCCGCGTCTTCTTTGATCAAAACGTCGTTTCTGTTACTGATAAGGAAATGCGTGCGTTAGGCAGCGCGGTGTGTAGAAGCTGTCATCAGCTGATCAGGAGCTAAAGAGGTAGATGTTTTCATCCAAGAGCATCACGGCCATGAAGAACGAGGAAGACGTGATGAATATCTACGGCTGCAGACCCGCAGATTTGCTGCTGCAGGTGGGAATCTGCAGCCGTGCCCTTCATGGCGTGACAGCGGGACGTCCCGAAGGTCGGCTCACCTGTTCACCGCTCAGACGTCCTGATCTTCTACCTTCCTAGATCATCCAGCTGTAACCTGCTTCTGATCATGTCTTTAGTCCCGCTGTAACACTGATGCATCAGTCTCAGACGTCATGGAGCTCAGGTGTTAGTAGAACTACCTGTGTGTGTTTACCACCCAACTTCAGCTCTTCTGTGTTTGGGTCTGACCCAAGTTAGTACGTTTAAGTCCTCCATCAGATCTGTGCCTCTTCTAGTGTCATTTTAAAGGATATTTATTTATTTATTTAACCGTTACTAGATTAGCAGCAACAGAAATGCTGCTAAAAACACACAGTTATGTGAAGCTGGAAAAATTAGAATACTGTGCAAAATTACATTTATTTCTGTAATTTAACTAGACTGAGAGACCGTTTAAAGGCTCGGGAACCTTTACAGGTGTTTCTATTTGCAATTTTAAATGTTAGCTGATTGGGGTCTTGTTAAATATCACACAGTGACCTTTTAATAGTCTAGATTAGTGTAATGTTCCTATTAGTAGTTCCTCCTGTTAAGTGCTTATTTGTTTAAATTATTCAGGTTAATAAAAATCATTTGGACACACATTTTATTATGTTCCAGTCAATAGTCATTTATATTTTACTATTGTAGTAATTCTTGCATTCTTTAATGAAAAAAGTAACTAAGTAGTTATTTTTGTTGGTAATTAGTTACTTTTATGATCTTGTAACTCAGTTAGTAACTGAGTTACTTTTTTGAGACAGTAATCAGTAACTATAACTAATTACTTTTTTAAAGTAACGTTCCCAACACTGGCCCTGACATCCCACATCACGAAGGTCCTGGAGAGACTCCTGTTGGTCCACCTGAATAAGCAAACTAGGACATGTCAGGACCCGCTGCAGTTTTCTTATCGCCATGGAGTTGGAGTTGAAGATGCCATCATCCAGCTGCTTCAACCAACCCACTGTCATCTGGACAAAGCAGGCAGCACTGTGAGGGTCATGTTTTTTGATGTCTCCAGTGCATTTAACACAGTCCAGCCTGATGTACTTTGCCAGAAACTCCAGAAGACACAGGTGGGGGCCTCAACTATCGCCTGGATTAAAGACTACCTGACAAACAGACAACAGTTTGTGAGGCTGAAGAACTGCACATCAAACCAGGCGATCAGTAACATTGGAGCACCACAGGGGACTGTACTCTCACCATTCCTTTTCACCCTGTACACCTCAGACTTCCAGTACAAATCAGAGACCTGTCATCTACAGAAATACTCAGATGACTCTGCAGTTGTCGGGTGTATCAGAGATGGACAGGAAGCTGAGTACAGAGAGCTGGTGGAGCGCTTTGTGGCATGGTGTGGAAACAATCATCTGACCTTGAACGTGAACAAAACAAAGGAGATGATTTTAGACTTCAGAAGAAACAGGGTGGAGTCAAACACTGTTTCCATCATGGGAGAAGAAGTGGAGATGGTTGAGGAATACAAATACCTTGGAGTTCACCTGGACAACAGACTGGACTGGAGAAAGAACAGCGAAGCCGTTTACAAGAAGGGGCACAGCAGACTGCACTTCTTGAGGACGCTTAGGTCCTTCAATGTCTGTAGCAAGATGCTGCAGATCTTCTACAAGTCTGTTGTTGAGAGTGTAATCTCTTCAGCCATCGTCTGTTGGGGTAGCAGCATCAGAAGCAGGGACCTGAAAAGGCTCAACAGCCTAATAAAAAAGGCTGGTTCTGTTCTGGGGACGACTGTGGAACCGCTGGAGGAGATGATGCAAAGAAGGATTCTCCAGAAAATGATGGACAACCCTGAGCATTCAGGGTTCGGCGTCTGCAGTGATGCGGACGCTGAGCCGATCTGTCGTGGTGAAGAGGGAGCTGAGCCAGAAAGCCAGGCTCTCGATTTACCGGTCGATCTACGTCCCAAACCTCACCTATGGTCATGAGCTTTGGGTAATGACCGAAAGAACGAGATCGCGGATACAAGCGGCCAAAATGAGTTTCCTCCGTAGGGTGGCCGGGCTCAGCCTTAGAGATAGGGTGAGGAGCTCGGACATTCGGGAGGGACTCGGAGTAGAACCGCTGCTCCTCCAGATCGAAAGGAGCCAGTTGAGGTGGTTTGGGCATCTGGTCAGGATGCCTCCTGGACGCCTCCCTGGGGAGGTGTTTCGGGCATGTCCTGCCAGCAGGAGGCCCCCGGGTCGACCCAGGACACGTTGGAGAGGTTACATCTCCAATCTGGTCCGGGAACGCCTTGGGGTCCTGCCGGAGGAGCTGGTGGAGAAGGCCGGGGAGAGGACGGTCTGGAGCTCCCTAGTTGGGATGCTGCCCCCGCGACCCGGACCCGGATAAGCGGAGGAAGACGACGACGGTGACAATAGCAAGTATTACAGTAAATGTACAAACGTGCATTTTCATGCATCTTTATTTCAGTGAGTTGTGTTGTTGGTTTCGGTGTATGTTTACTAAATTGTGCAAATGAGGAAAGCTTTTTCTCTGTTTTGGTCACACTAAAAAACACCTAGCTGCTAGCTCAACTCACTACCAGAACAAAGAAGTAACATAACTCTGTAGGAGAGACAGACAGAGAGAGAGAGAGAGAGAGAGAGAGAGAGAGAGAGAGAGAGAGAGAGAGAGAGAGAGAGAGAGAGAGAGAGAGAGAGAGAGAGAGAGAGAGAGAGAGAGAGATGCTCCATTTAATTGATTATATCATTTATATCATTTATACAGTCAAATACAGTCAAATAATAAAAGCCTGTTTGGAAAGTAAAAAGAGGAAAATGTAAGACAAAAAATAAACAACATTAACTGTTTAAATTTAAATGTTTAATATTATTCCAACAATTCTATATGCAAAAAATACAAATGGAAACAATTTATTCAACAATCCAGTTCAAATAACAAAAGCATTTATTGACAATTATAATTTGCCTTTATTGCTAATTTCATCAGCCTTAGTACCTCTTAAATAAGAGCCTGACACACTTTGAGTCCAAGCGGCCGTCTGCTCCGGGAGCCAAGTATCTGCCAAAGTCACAGCAATAACAGATGATGAGGTTCGACGAAGGCTTCATTAAAGCTGTAGCGTTACTGATCCCGACAGCTAGAATGAATGATATCCTTGGCATCTGTGGACAACGCCTCCCCTCCAGTCCATTTTTATTATTACTTATTCATGTAGAGCAATAATGTTGGTTCAGTCTCCTCCTCTATCAATTTAAAAACTTGGCTGTTGAGCTGTGAGTTATGCAACACTCGAACAAAAACGAGGGATGGCAGCTAATCAACCCGACTAGGCGGAGGATGCTTACGGCCTTCCCTGGCTATTCTCATGGAAGGAGGAAAACATATGGAATTATGGGATGTGAACCGAAATGTTCATAGTGTAAATCTTCCTCTGGTCCTTTTCATTAGTGAAAGGAAAAATCCAGCAGGGTTAAACAAACCGCCATGCACAATTTTATGACTAAGTTGCGCAGCTATTCAGTATTTTCATGCTGCAATAAACGATCTGCACAGCTAAAGACAAGAACTAAGTGCCTAGCACAGGCTCCACGTGTGGTTCCAGGGTGTGATTGCTGAGTCTACGCCTGCCTAGGTTTACGCTCTGTGAAGATAAACACCATCCAGCGTGTTGCAGCACCTCCACGTATTTCTCCCAAAGTCAAATCCACTCCAGCTGTTTCTGTCCTTAACTCGTCTGTATTGGGCTGTAATCAGCTTGGCCCAACACCGTTCCAACGACTGCTCGGATTCTTCTCGGCTGCCATCCACTGAGAAAAAAAAAACGTCCTTAAGGATCCGCCAAACTCCTCCTGAGTGTGGACTCTCACGATGGCGGTGAGGAACGTATGGAGCTCTGAAGATCAAGGGTACCCCCAGAAAAGAGGCCAAAGAAAATTTTGGGGTGGGACACCAAATTGGTCCTTGTGGTAACTCTGGGAGAGTTTAGCCTGTGGCGATGCACTGCTCATGTATTCGTTTTTGTTAAAAAAACTATATCGGTACAGATAAAATCATCTATTCCAAAATGGTCGATGGAGAAGAGCTATACGTCTCTACCTGCTTTATGGCTATAGCATTATGTCGATGGTTTTCTCGGCCGCCAGCTAATATAACGGTCCCTCCGACCACCAAGGCAAGGCGGGTTAAATGTCTTGCCCAAGGGCGCAGCAGCATCACTCTCTGGTGGGAGCTGGGATTTAACCTACAACCTCCCAATTACTGGAAAACCCACTCTACCTCCTGAGCATCTGCTGCCCTTTTACTACTGCTGGAAGTAAACGCAAGAGAGTACTCTTTGGAGGTGAAGCAAAATCAGAGTGAGCAAGTTATTTTAGCAACTTTTTGCCGCCGGTGGAAGTACAAATCCTACCACAGCATTTAGTCCGCTGGAGACATGGCAACCTCACACACTTACTGATATCAACTATACCCGTGTCACTCGTTCCTTTATTTTGAAAGGAGAAAACATGACAGCCCTCCAACTGGTTGAGAAACAAATCTGTTTCAAGGTAACCTTCCTCCCAACATTATTGATGCATTAGACAGTTTTGTGATTTAATCCCCATAAAATTCTTACATATTGCTCCTTTAACACTTTTTTTTTTATTTTAGGGAACACAGGGTCATCTTTCAGACCGCTTGACAAATGTAAAATTGACCAACAATATAAAATACTATTTCATCTCTTAACATTGTGAGTCTCCCACAAACCTGTTTGGTGTTGATTGAAGCCCTCGGGTAAACACAAAACAGTGATTAGGTATTAAGATATTTATCCTCCACAACAACTCACTGCTGATCCACCTTCATTCACCAACAACAATGGGTTGATGAGTTCACATGATTTGAGGGTTCCACTTCATCCTGTGACTTTGCTGGTTATCTGCTGACGTTTAGTCTTTCTTTACCAGTTTTTCCACCTCCACTCCTTGTCTCCTTCTGTTAATGCCACCACCTTCCGTCAGCCATGCATGACTTTCGTTTATCCTCACCCCCTGCCCTTCTGTCGTTACGAAGACAGGAACTGCCAGGTTCAGGCGTTTTTCTGACTCTCGACCTGTTGGAGACCTCTGCCAGCCGTGTTATTGAGCCTGCTGATCCATGGCCATGAACCTGAGCAAAGCTAGAGAGGTATTAGCTAGCTAGGGCTTTACACAGCTGCTGGATGAGTGGCTTCGTGCTCTACGTCCCCTCTGCTCATTACTGATGCTGTTAGAATAAACTCAGCTGAAACAAATCACCCAAAAGTGTTTCCAACATTTTTTCCAGCTTTTTGAATGTGACGAAACATTACACCATCATCTCTCGCTGCGTAAATGGACAGTGTTGGAAAAGATCTGAATCTTTTTGCTTAATGACCCCAAAGTAACAGTCTTTGTGTAAGCTGTGGTACCATTCTCCTGCGCTGCACTCTTTAGCTGTCTCGTATCATCATTTTATTTTTCTACCCGCTTTACTACCCTAGTTTGTCGACTCACAACTTTTCACTGCTTGCTAAGCTGATTTGTTTCCAGCGGTTGCTGTAATTACCCCTTAGTAATGTTTACCAGAGAAAACAGAAGGAAAAACGACCTCCCCGCAGAGGACGAAGCAGATCTGGAGGGAAATAATTACAAGATCAACACCATTAATCACTAATAGAGGATCTCTGTTGGGTCAGAATTTGCTACACACACACTGCACACTTAATATTTCACCAATAGGCTTTTGAAAAGTGAGGAAACACCAAAAGAATGCAGGGTCCTCTTTTACCAACATGTATTATTTGTTTTGGTTTGATAAACCCATCAGACTGTTTCTCTGGGGGTGTGATTGATTTGACTCCCTTCACTGCACACCTCATCAAACACTACCTGTAGCTGCCTCAGCATTATCTGTCTTTGCTCAGAGACTTTCATTAACACTTCCTAAAACAGCAGCAGCTTCCTATGGTTACTTCCTCGTTCCCTAACGCTCTTGTGAATGGAGGGTAAACCTATCAGGTAAACCACGTGGTCTGAACATGAAAGAAAACATCCGATCACATATACAGGTGCTGGTCATAAAATTAGAATATCATGACACGGTTGATTTCTTTAAATTATTCCATTCAAAAAAGCTACCAGCACCTAGCTTAAGGGTCATGGTATACCTGTTCTTGATTAGCCAGCGAACTCACCTGACCGTAACACCTCAGGAGATCTATGGGGTATTGTGAAGAGGAAGATGCAACACACCAGGCCCAACAATTCAGAATAGCTGAAGGCCACCATCAGAGCAGCATGGGCTCTCCTAACACCTGAGCAGTACCACAGACTGGTGGACTCCATGCCTCACCGCACCGCTGCAGTAAGCCAGGCCAAAGCAGCCCCAGTGAAATACTGAGTGCTGTTCATGTTCACACTTTTCAGTTGGCCAACATTTCTAAAATTATTTTCTTTTTTGCATTATTTTCTGATACAGAATTTGGGATTTTCATTAGTTGTCAGCTAAAATAATCAAAATTAAAGAAACAAACATTTGAAATATACCTTTCTGTGTATTATTCTAATTGACAAGTGTTCCTTTTTGATGAAATTACTGAAATAAATCAACTGTATCATGATATTCTAATTTTATGGCCAACATCTGTATACACCATCAGAGAAGAAGCAAATGCATCTTTTACCTAATTACTTTAATTGTTTTCTATCTGCTCATGTCGGAAAGAAAGGTATGAGTCTAAACCATCCTAAGTTGATGCCAAAGCTATTTCAAATGAACGCCGTTCCTGAGATGGTGCCATCTTTGTAGTCCTTCACAGCTCTGCCGGGGCTAAATTTGCCAAACGTCTCCCTACAAACAGAACTTTTGGGCCAGTGATAGACCTGCTGAGGCTACAACAGAGTGTGGATAGACCAACCTGCAGAACTGAATCTTTCTCTGCTGCTCGGGTTTGTTAGCCTGGTAAGTCATCCTACATACGTGAATAAATAGTCTGGCCACCACCCATAGACAGCTCAGCCATGTCTTTCAAACTGGCCCCACATGCTATTGGACAACCTACTTGCATCTATGAATGTCAGTCAACAGGGAAGTCTTCCATATGCATCCTTTTTCTACACAAGGGACCTGAGCACGTCTTTCTGCTCCTGACTAAAAGAAAAGCCCAAGTCTAAATAGTCTTAAGTTGATGCCAAAGTATTTTCTAACTAGCCACCGCCATCTTAGTTGCTCTGCTCTGTTGCATCATCCCACCCACCAAATCGATAGAGCCCTGTGAGACAGTAGCCTAAATAGTGATTAGCTGCAGCATTTTCTTTTAGTTTTGATTCAGGTTTGTGTTTCTGTGACTGAAGTGAAAGAAACGTTGGCTTTGTTAGGTGGATTACTTCACTCTTTTTCTTCTCTTTGCTGTATGTCATGGTAGCCAATTGCTCTGTCTGTTTCCTTCTGCAGTCATCTCCATGCAGTCAGACCATGGAAGAGCTCAATGTGCTGATAGAGATGGTGGGAGCAGAATTCACCTGTTTAAAACATGTTTTAATACTTTTTTAAGTTCATCCAGGCAAAAGAAAAGTAAAATCCATTCTTGAAGTTAATTAGGTGTTTTATGAGGCCTCTGTCACGGTCTGCGTTCTGCGTCTCCCTCATGTGTCTCCTCGTGTTCTCCATCCCTCTCTAGGTTTCCCTCATGTGTCTCCTCGTGTTCTCCATCCCTCTCTAGGTTTCCCTCATGTGTCTCCTCGTGTTCTCCATCCCTCTCTAGGTTTCCCTCATGTGTCTCCTTGTCTGCATCCCTCCTCATGTCCCTCCCTGTGGTTCCCCAGCCCCCTCCAGGCTCTGTCTAGGTTTCCCTCACGTTTTCCCTCATCATTAGTCTTCTGTTAGTGTTTATTCCTTTAGTTCTTTTTGCTCCCTTCCCCATTTTTAGGTCTGGTTTCCTCCCCTGCTCCATTGTGCTCCTCCTCTCTGTTTATTAGTCTCACCTGTGCACAATTCCCTAATCACCCAGCCCTTGTGTATATAACCCTGTCTGCATCTCAGTTTGTTGTTGGTCCATTGTCCTTGTCAGTGTTGCCCCCCCCCCCCCCCCCCCCCCCCCCCCCCAGGTCTATTAGGATTTTGGCTTCATGCCCTTCTAGGTTTTATTTAGGCTTCTTCATTCTTAATAAAGAATGTTTTCCTTTACATCCTTTCCTGCCTCGTGTCGTTCTGGGTATCTGCATATTGGGTCCAACTCCTTCAACCCACAACGTGACAGCCCCTACCTTTGTTGGGTTTGTGGCAGGAGCTGGATTAATTCCACACCATGCCTGTAGCTGTGAAGAAGCGTCCATACAGAGAAGTGCTCAGGTGTATAAGTGCTCCATTGTGTTTCTGGTCTTAGAGGGGGAGGTGGGCAGGGGGGGGGGGGGGTGTCCCTTGAGAAAAATCCCTACTGGCCCTCATTCTTAATACGCTTGTCTCTGAGAAAGGCAGGGACAGATACAGAATGGAGGGGACAGTTAGAAGTTCCCCATCTGAGAGGGGATGAAATGAGGGAGCTGACTGAAAATTGAACAAGCGATAGAACAACAGCAAGATGAAGAAAGGACGTCGAGAGAAAGCAGACAAGATTAATTAACTTATTTCCAACAGCAGATCCTATTAAAGCTGCTGTCAGCCTCTCTGAGTGACTCACTAACTTCTCTAACTTAAACAGAACACTGTGCAAGCTTTGTTTTCTGACTCTGTCAAACATATTTAAGATAATATATAGACATGTGCATGTAGACGGCTCTGTGGTGCATGTCTGACAATTAGTGTTAGCTTTATAGTTTTCCTGAGATTGTTTCAGGCATGGTCAGGAATCTGTTGCTATGCAATTATAAAGCAGCAGATAGCAAAAAGGCAAGTGGGCCTGTAAACACAGCTGGTGAGTGATTCAGAACAGCAGGTGTTTCTTCAGGTCTATAAAGCCAGAGAGACAGAGCCAACGCTGGACGAGGAGGCGGTGTGAGAGGCCTGGCGCCCAAGGACGCCAATGAAAGATTGATCAACGAGGCTGTTACCTTCTCAAGGTGAGATCTCAGTTCTGAGAGAGGGAGCGACCTCATCCCCACATTCTCACCCCGTCACGCCAACAGCCTAGCCGCTGCCTTTTTCCTTCTGCTTACTCATGGAGGACACTGTTCAGAAAGGAGTAGCCATGTTTCCACTACAGGAGTTCCAGAACATTTCTGGGATGGGGAAAAGTGGCCAGGACATACGATGACTCGGCCTTTCCAGACGTGTCATCATACAAATTCAGCCCCTTCAGGACTTTGCTTGGACTTAAGCATATCGTTACTGCTTCGGCATGAGTGATGCCACTGATAAGCGCCAAAATTAACCCATTCACTGCCATTGACGACTAAAATCGTCATTCTAAATCCAACCGCTCACTGGCATTGATGATTATTGATATCAATTGTGTTTTAATGCGGTGGGCTTGGGAACGAGCTTGGGAACGGGCTTGGGAACGAGCTTGGGAACGGGCTTGGGAAGGGGCTTGGGAACGAGCTTGGGAACGAGCTTGGGAACGGGCTTGGGAACGGGCTTGGGAACGAGCTTGGGAACGGGCTTGGGAACGAGCTTGGGAACGAGCTTGGGAACGAGCTTGGGAACGGGCTTGGGAACGAGCTTGGGAACGAGCTTGGGAACGAGCTTGGGAACGGGCTTGGGAACGGGCTTGGGAACGAGCTTGGGAACGGGCTTGGGAACGAGCTTGGGAACGAGCTTGGGAACGGGCTTGGGAACGAGCTTGGGAACGGGCTTGGGAAGGGGCTTGGGAACGAGCTTGGGAACGAGCTTGGGAACGGGCTTGGGAACGGGCTTGGGAACGAGCTTGGGAACGGGCTTGGGAACGAGCTTGGGAACGAGCTTGGGAACGAGCTTGGGAACGGGCTTGGGAAGGGGCTTGGGAAGGGGCTTGGGAACGAGCTTGGGAACGGGCTTGGGAACGAGCTTGGGAACGGGCTTGGGAAGGGGCTTGGGAACGAGCTTGGGAACGAGCTTGAACATCTTGAGAGTAAACATCCCCGCTCTAAAGTTGATTTTCACTCGTGTGTCAGTGACACGTCACATGATCATGAAGCAGGCAATCCATGTATTAGGAGATCATTTTGGGATGCCGCTATGCCTAAGGCGAGGCGCAAACCGGAAAAGCTTCTGCAGCTCACTTTTACACAACTGATTGTGAAAGAACGGAAAAAGTTAGAAACACACTGATTCTTCCTGATGTAAGAAGTGACTCTACTCTGTCTGTTGGTAGTTTGGTATTTGCATGATCTTAGAGCACAATATTCTGTGAGTCTGCAAAAAACAGTAAAAATGCTTAAAAACGCTGGCAGTCAGTGAATTTCTGATCGGATAAGGTCTGGCTGTGAATGAGTTAACATTACTATTGTTAAACGTTTTATTATGTCAAAGTCGTCATAACTTAATACATTCGGAAGGTCGGCAGAGCCGCTGTGGATCATTGAAACCGTTTTTTATTTTCTTCATTTTAGATTTTTTTTTCTTGAGAGGCACTGTAGAAAAGATCATTTCTTTCTTTCTTTCTTTCTTTCTTTCTTTCTTTCTTTCTTTCTTTCTTTCTTTCTTTCTTTCTTTCTTTCTTTCTTTCTTTCTTTCTTTCAGGACTTTTTGAGTACATACCCCAGCTCAAGTACTCTGTCGGATCCTAAAATGGTCTCCTTGGGATGGCCCGGTGAAATAGACACATTCATGCTACAAACTTTAGGTGAAGTTGCTCTGAAGGGCCGATAGAAACAGGAGGCAGACCTAATAAGACTGAGCCGAGGCAGCTGAAGTCTCCGATTAAAGGAGAAAACGCTTTTTCTTTACCTTTTAATTTTCTCGGTAGTGTCACTCGGACATTTTCTCACACCTTCCTTGTCCCAAATGTCTTTCTCCCAGTGGACTATTTTGCTAAGTGGTTATCCCCCGTCTTTCTCCACTGAGGCTTTTTAAACGTTTGTACAACTCTAATAAATCTGTCAGCATCATCAAACACAACGACAAAAACGCCTCTGGGTGTTAACCTTCACTTCAAATTTACTGCAGCAGCATTTTATCTCTATTTTCTTCAATCCCGCCACTCCGCAGCTACATAAAAAATAAAACGTGAGGTGTGATGCCACAACGACAAAGCTTTACTGACACGTACAAAGGCATCTCCTCATTGTTCAGCACTCTCTTGCATTCTAAATAGTGAAGTCAGAAAGTCGGACCCTGATCTTTTCAGGAAACTGTTTATAGTCTGTCCTGTTTTACAGAAGGACGGTTTATAAACTGAAGATGGCCATCTATTCATCAAATGAATTTCATAAAATTTAGATTTACAAAAACAAGTTTTTTTTTCTTCTTCCTTGTGTGATTGGAGGTTTGCAAGTTTAACTCCACAGGCAGCTGCTCAAGGGTGAGGCTTATAAATGAAGAGCTCTTTGCTTTGCTTTAAGACTTGTCAAGGTGCCCTTAATCAGAGCACTTAGAGGAAAATTGTTCCTTAATTTGATAAAACTACTGGTTATTTCCTGCTTTCAAATTGGATAAAGCAGATGTACACACACACACACACACACACACACACACACACACACACACACACACACACACACATATATATATATATATATATATATATATATATATATATATATATATATATATATATATATATATATATATACATATACCGTAAATCCTCTAATATTAGCCTGTATTTAATTAACTGCCGGGTATCATATTTTGGTCGGAGTCGGCGGAGGTGAATAATGGCCGGTTTTTTATTGTGGCCGGGTGGAATGTGGTAACAAGCAAGTACGGGGGGCGGTTGCGTCATCCGTCTCACTTTTGATTTGCCAGTGATAGACCGCGAGGGTAACTTTAACCGTGCGGAGACGAAGAGGAGGCGAACATTTGATATCAAGTTCAAAGAGAACGTGCTGATTATGCTGCAGAACACTCTGGGGAGCAGTAGCAGGGGTTGTATGAACTAGTCACTAGTCGACTTCACCGCTCTATAGTGACTTGTTATGCCTGTCATGTGTTTAACTTTGAAAATGTGGGCGCAATTTTAATTGTCAAAAACTCCAGCGAACCATTAGTTCATTTTGCTCAAATAGAAATAGAGGCCTGCCTCTAATTCTGGTCCTCCTTCCAATAAAGGCCTGGAGCTTGATGAGCTTGAGTCAAATACAGGCCCGGGCCTGTATTAGAGGATTTACGGTATGTATGTGTGTGTGTGTGTGTGTGTGTGTGTATATATATATATATATATATTTATTTTTGCACAGCTCATCAGTTAGCAATGTCCTCACCAGACTTGTTTCTGCAGGATTTTTAGCAAAACTCTCTAATATCATTCTGACCACAATGAAGCTCAAACACAATACCAGAAGCGTCACCTGGGTAGTTTCTGGTATTTTCAGCTGAATGTAAGGTCAGGTGATTTTCATGTGGTTCAACAGGCAATTCTGTCTTTATTTATCTTAAATTTATCTCTTCTCACAGAATCTGTATCTCTTCACTCTGATCCCATCATCACGTGTTATTCAGAGTTGATCCTTTTGATCTAACCAAAGTTTCTGATTCTGATGTGGATGTCTGAATAGTTTTCTTCTCTGATCCTTTGTGGAATTATCCCAATTGTCAAGAAACTCTAATGTATTTAATTCTTCACCGAGCCTTTCTATCAGATGCCAGAAATGTAGCACCTTGCAGTTAGCCGCTGTGACAGTAGATTGGTACATTTCCACTTGCCTATTTATTACATGCGACACTCCCAGAATACGTCAAGCTCAGAGGTTCAGATTGGACCACACAGGAAGTCAATCACAAAAGCAGTGTGAAACATCCAGAAACTTTCAAAATAAAATTCAAGTGCAGGTTTCCTGTTGATTAACGAGTACATAAAGTACTTCTTTACCAGTGACTTCTCTATAGCCGAGCAGAGCAGAAAATGAACCACAGACCTTTTTGGGTACAAGCTGTCTTCCTCCTTCCCTGCTTACAGTGGAGGATCCAG